TGGGAGGCTGAGGCAGGAGAATCACTTGAACCAGGGAGGCGGAGATTGCAATGAGCCGAGCTCGCACCATTGCACTCCAGCCTGGGCAAAAGGAGTGAAACTCTGTCTCAAATAATAATAATAATAATAATTAGCCACATATCCACATAACAATATTGCATTATCACAGGTATAGTGATACTGTATGATTCCATTTATATGAAGTTCAAGAACAGGCAAGTAATCCATGGTGAAAGCAGTACTTAGCCCTGGGGGTGGCGGTATTGACTAAAGAGGTACAAGGGGGTCTTCTGGGGCCTGGAAATGTTCTATATCTTGATCTGGGTGGTGGTTACACAGGTATATGCATGTTAAGAATTCATCAAGCTGTATACTTAGTAGTGTACTGTAATATAATTACACTGTATTTCGATTAAAATGTGAAAGAAAAAAAGGGAGTGTCTTTTGCTTCCACATTTGTAGCCCCAGCTTCTGTAAGTATCTCCTGCGTGATAATGGTTGGATGAATTAAAAGGTAGGAGGGATAGAAGAGGAGAGAAGCAATAGGAAGAGGAAGGTTGGAAGAAAAGCCCAGCTCTACTGTCTCACAGGGGTGTCACTGGTTACTGGGGAACTTGGAAGCACTAGGGAACAGAGAGGAAGTTGCTGCCTCAGGCTTCCACTTCTCAGCCCAGAAGTGAGAGGCTGTGAAGCTGTTGGTCCCTGGTGGGGGACAAGTGAGACCAGTGAGAGAGGGTTTTTGCCTTTGAATTGCCCCTTCCCTGGAGACAGCAGCAAGATGAAGGCCTCTCAAGAAGTGCTTCATCCTCTGGAAACCAACTGAGGAAATGACTCTCCCAAGAGAAGGATCATACATCACTCAATCATCAGCAAACATTTATGAAGCACCTGCTCTGTGCCAGGCCCTAAAGTGAAAAAAACAAACACTGCACTTACAGAAGCACGAGATAAACAATAAACATAAGTAAGTTAAAGAGTAGTTAGAAGGCAACAACTTTGGAACAAAGAAAAAGAACAGTGTAGGTAATGTAGTGCCCAGATGGGAAGGGCAAGTTGCCGTATTAAATTAGGTGCTGAGGGTGAGTCAGAGTCACCTCATTGAGGTGACATCTGAGCAGGGACTGGAAGGAAATGAATGCAGACGGCCGGGCGCAGTGGCTTACACCTGTAATCCCAGCACTTTGGAAGGCCGAGGCGGGCGGATCACAAGGTCAGGAAATCAAGACCATCCTGGCTAACATGGTGAAACCTCGTCTCTACTAAAAAATACAAAAAAAAAAAAAAAAAAAAAAAAAAAAAATTAGCCGGGTGTGGTGGTGGGCACCTGTAGTCCCAGCTACTCGGGAGACTGAGGCAGGAGAATGGCATGAACTTGGGAGGCAGAGCTTGCAGTGAGCCAAGATGGTGCCACTGCACTCCAGCCTGGGCGACAGAGCAAGACTTTGTCTCAAAAAAAAAAAAAAGGGATGCAGATATCGGAGGGAAGAGCTAGAACAAAACCCCTGGTGTAAGGCCGGCCTAGTCAGCTGCAGGAACAACACAGAGAGGCAATAAGGGGGCCAGATGGTAGAGAAAGCTGAAGGCATCATGGGGGCTCTGGCAGGATTCTGAGTAGACCATTGATGGGCTCTAGCCTCTGTGGAGAGTAAACCAAGGGAAGCAGTGGAGCGATGCGTGAAACCAATGTAGTAGTTAAGTGGGAGATGATAGCCACTTGGATGAGATTGGTGATCAGTGGCTGGATGTTGAACATGCTGATACTTTAAAGGTAGAGCCAACAGACCGTAGGTTCAAAGTTTTGCATCATAAGGGGCAATGTAGCCCATAATGTCCAGAACGAGTCAGGATATAAAGGAGGCCTCTCAATACAGAGCTATTCACCAAGGGCCTTGATGGGTAGGAAATGAGTTGCAAGTGTGTGGAGATATTGCTCCCCTCTGGCCCAAGCTCCCTCCCACTCCAGTTACCCAGTGTTCTGGGCAGCACCCTATTCTCTTCTGTGAATAGGCAGAGGCAGGGCCACACCGTCATCTTGGATGCACCTATTATGGGAGACTGGAGTGCAATGGTACCATCTTGGCTCACTGCAACCTCCGCCTCCCAGGTTCAAGCGATTCTGCCTCAGCCTCCTGAGTAACTGGGATTATAGGCGTGTGCTGCCACGCCCGGCTAATTTTTCTATTTTTAATAGAGATGGGGTTTGGCCATGTTGGCCACACTGCTCTTAAACTCCTGACCTCAAGTGATCTGCCCGCCTTGGTCTCCCAAAGTGCTGGGATTACAGGTGTGAGCCACCATGCCCAGCCTGGACTTGCCTTTTACCTCATCCATGGTGTCTTGAAGAAAAAGATTCTTTAGAAATACTTTTTCTTTCACAACTTGTGTTTTATGTATTGCTTTCAAGATCCCAACTACATCTAGGTCCTAAAAATAGTATCCTACCTATTCTAAGTTTTTGTTTTTTTTTTAAATCAACTTAATTGTGGTGTAATTGCACACTGCAGATAAACTGCACGTTTGAAGTAACGTTGTAAGTTTTTTGTCTTGGAGCCCTGAAGTAAACTTTTATTTCTAGCTGACAGGACTTCCACACCCATGCTCCTCTCAGCACCTTTCACCCAGCCCAAGCAGCGGCGGCCCAGTGCAAAAGTGCCGTGGCCAAAGGGGTGGGAGACTCACTCAGCATTCTAGGCCGGAGAAGCGGGCAGGCTTGGGATGCCAGCAGGAGGCAATGACTCTCCCCAGGTGCTGCATCCTGGCTCCGGGGCACAGGCTCCTTTCCGCTCTGACGCTGATGCTCATCTGGCTGCCTCCCGTTCCTTGGCATCAAAATACCAGTCGACGGTGGCACACTCTATGGCCTGGGCTGCCTCACCTCGTTCGGCCCCGCCCAGAAAGACCAGACGACCAGAAAACCAGAAGCCGGTCACAGCGACAGCCGCGAGCCTCAGCGTCCACGCGGGTTACCTGGGTAACGCGCCGCTTGGGCTTGGTGCCCAGCAGATGACAGGGGAACCCTGCCAGGCAGCAAGCGCCTCCTCCAGCCCCGGGGGCCTCCAGCTGTGCACCCGCCCGCCCTCCCTCCCACTGCGGTCGCCTGCAAGCGTTTTGACAAATCTCTAAACCCACAAAACCATCACTAGCTCTGGTTTCCCAGGACTCCTGAAGCCCCTCGGTTCAGCATTCCACGCCCCTCTGCCCTGCTTTCAAACCACCGCCAATCTTTCTGTTATATATACAGATTAGTTTGGATTTTCTAACAGTTCTATATAAATGCAGTGACACATTTGAGTGTACTCTTTTGTGATCTGGCTTATTTTACTCAGCATAATTATTTTGAGATTATCCATTTTGTTGCGTATGTAAGTAGCTCATTCCTTCTATTGCTGAGTGGTGTTCCATCTCATGGATGCACCACAGTTGTTTATCACGCTGGATATGTGAGCTGTTTCTATTTGGGGCTGTTAAAAATAAACTTATGTGAACATTCGTGTAGAAGTCTTCCTAAGGACACACATTTCTTTGTTGGATAAATGCCTAGGAGTTGAATGACTGGATCATATAGCAAATGAAAGTTCTTTTTTTTTTTTTTTTTGAGATGGAGTCTCACTCTGTCACCCAGGCTGGAGTGCAGGGGAGCGATCTCGGCTCACTGTAAGCTCCACCTCCCGGGTTCAGGTCATTCTTCTGCCTCAGCCTCCCAAGTAGTTGGGACTACAGGTGCCTGCCACCACGCCCGGCTAATTTTTTGTATTTTTAGTAGGGACGAGGTTTCACCATGTTAGCCAGGATGGTCTACATCTCCTGACCTCGTCATCCGCCCACCTCCACCTCCCAAAGTGCTGGGATTGCAGGCCTGAGCCACCGCGCCCGGCCACTCCTGGGACTCTTAATCTCCAGGCCCTGTTTTATTTTCTTCTAGGTATTTATATTTCCATGAAGCATCTGCTTTGTTTACTGGTGTTTGCCCCATGAACATGGGCTTCCAAGGGGCTAAAGCCCTATCAGTCCCTCTCACTGACGTGCTCCCACCCCAGTGTCCAGAACAGTGCCTGGTACATATAGGCCCTCAATAAACACCTGTTCAGCAGATGCGTGGTGGTCAGGCCCAGGCCCCTGGAGGTGGGTCCTCCTCTCCTTCCTTAGCTCACACTCTCCTGCTTCTTCAGCAATGGGCAGCTTCACCTACCCTGAGCTCGGTCCCAGAGCTGAGGACCTTCCTTGCATCATGATCTCACCCCCACCTGATTTTCAGATACAAACGGAATATATGTGGAATCCTACTATTCTGGCACATGGTTACATTGTAGACAATATTAAAACTTATGTATATGAAATGTACTTATGTAATGTTTCATTAAAGTATATGAAATATAGGACACATTGATACTAATTCCTTGTTTTTTTTTTTCTTTTTCTTTTCTTTTTTTTTTTTTGAGACAGAGTCTCACTCTGTTGCCCAGGGCAGGCTGGAGTGTGTTGGCAGGTCTTGGCTCACTGCAACCTCTGCTTCCCCGGTTCAAGCGATTCTCCAACCTCAGCCTCCCAAGTAGCTGGGATTGCAGGCACACGCCACCATTCCTGGCTAATTTTTGTATTTTTAATCGAGACGGGGTTTCACCATGTTGGCCAGGCCGGTCTCAAACACCCGACCTCAGGTGATTCGCCTGCCTCGGCCTCCCAAGTCTGGGATTACAGGCGTGAGGCACCGCACCCGGCCTACTTGTTTTTCTTCAGTTTACATATAACTGAGCTTTCTTTTTCTTTTCTTTTCTTTTTTTTTTTTTTTCAGACGGAGTCTCGCTCTGTCACCCAGGCTGGAGAACTGGAGTGCAATGGAGTGATCTCGGCTCACTGCAACCTCCTCCTCCCCGGTTCAAGTGATTCTCCTGCCTCAGCCTCCTGAGTAGCTGGGATTATAGGCATGCGCCACCACACCCAGCTAATTTTTGTATTTTTAATAGAGACGGGGTTTCACCATATTGGTCAGGCTGGTCTCCAATTCCTGACCTCGTGATCCGCCTGCCTCCGCCTTCCAAAGTGCTGGGATTACAGGCGTGAGCTACTGTATTTTTATTTGCCAAGTCTGGCGATCCTAGTCTGGGACATAATCGTACTAAACATATTTATATTAAAAACAATGTTTTCACATACTATTCTTGGACACTGTAAAAAACGGTTGCGTGTCTGGAACGTCCTCGTTTTGCCCAGCGGCCGCATCGTACGTGGGCATCCCCGCAGCCTCCCCCTTCTCCACATCCGCCAGCAGTGCCCCCTACGCTGCGCTACCCGTTGCCAAGGCGACCGTAACCGCGGCCGGAGGTTACTGGAGGGCACGGCGGGGGCGGGGCGCTCACTCCAGGCGGCTTCTGACTGGCCCCGGCCGCCTCATGCGTCACAGCCCCGCCCCTGCCCGGGAGTCCCGTGGCGCGTGACATGTCGCCGACGCTCGGCGCGCTCTAGCGGACCAATGGCGGCCGCCCGCGGCGCGCGGGGTGCCGGGATGGGGTCCGCCCGCGGCGTGGGGCGCGCTCGCCAGCCCAGGGGTCGCCATGACTGAGCGGCCCAGGCCCGAGCGAAGCCCGCGCGCGGTGAGTCCGCCGCGGCCCATCCGTCCCTCCGCCCACCAGAGCGTCCATCGGGACGCCCACCCGGGAGGGGCGCGGCGCCGTGTCGGCGGGAGCTGGCTCGGGATTGCGGGCCAGGGGCGTGCGTCGGGGGAGACGGGCCCGGGCGGGGGCGGACCGGGCCGGGGTTCCAGAGCCCGTCCGGAGTCCTGAGGTCGCCGTAGGGGAGGGGAGGGGAAAGCTAGAGGCCACGCGGCGCGGGGGACTTGGGGGCTAGGGCCGCCCCTTCCTCAGGGACCCCGACCCCCGTTGGCATCCGCCTGTCAGTTTGAGGCCGAAGCCCCTCTACGTACCCCCTTTGTCCGCCTAGACACCGCTCGGCCGCGTCCAAGTTCTCTCTTCCACACATGATCGGCATCCCGTGACCTATCTCCCTCCTGAACAGCTGCCCCCGGACCCATCTCCCTCCCTACCAGCCCCCCGGGCCCATCCCCCACTGGAACAGCAGCCCCCGACCCGTCTCCCTCCCTACAAGCTCCCCCGCCCGGGCCCATCTCCCTCCTGAGGAGCCGCCGCGACCCATCCCCCACCCGACCAGCCGTCGTCGTTGCCCCTCCCCCGTGTTCCCAGTGCACACTTCCCCAGCCCTTTTATTATGGAGCTCCCCCGAGTGGCATCCTAAGCTCCCGACGCCCTCCCTACTCTAAGCCCCCTTCTCAGAGCCAGAGCCATTCACTGACTGTCGCAGCGAACACGTCTACTATGTCACTAAGCATCCGCCATCAGTGGCAAAGCCCTCCCGCCCATCCCCACAATAGAATTTGGGGCTCGGGCTGCAGATCTCAGTGCTCATGTCAAGTGAACCTGGCCCTTCCACAGGCACTGAACCCTCCAAGTGACACTCTCTCACACACACATATCCCCAGCATTCATCCCAGACTCCCACCAAAGTAGACCTCTAGGACCCCAGGGCCACCACAGCATTGCCCATGGGGGGCCCAGATCCTCCTCACCAGCCATGTAGACCTCAGTCCCCTCCACATCATCGCAGGCCCTCTTCATCTTCCAGAAGTGGCCCCCCGATCAGGCCTGGACTCTCATCAGCTCAGGCACCCCCACATTGGCCCAGGTTTTCCTTCAGCCCCCATATAGACCCCAGACACACCCATGGACCTCTGGTGCCTTCTGCTAAGACCTCCTCTTTACCCTCATCCGGGATAAACTTAGCCTCTCCTCCCACAGACCCCAGCCCAAGACCCTGGAGGATGCTGAGGGGCTACAGCCCCTCTCCCTGCAGTCTCCAGTGTGAGCTGCCATGAGCACCTGAGAGTGTAAGGTCTGAGGCCCCAGGGCAAAGGAACTTCTTGAACCTGTGGAGCTTCAAAATGGGCCCTTTTTTCTTACTCAAAACTATATATATAAGAGCGTGAATACAACATAAGAGAGCATTTTTGCCTGTGGCCTTGGCAGGGAAGACCAAGCTGGTAGTTTCCCAATCAGGGTGCGGGTGGCTGGGTACGCTGACTCGAAGATGGCTGGCTGGGCACAGTCCCCATGAGTTGCCTTTTCTGCCACCCTGCACCACTCCTTTCTCCTGGATTGTAAAACCAGATGCACAAGAACTGCAGAGTGTATGAAAAATGCAGCAGAAGATGAAGAGGGAAAAATCCCATGGAATCCCTCCTTTTCATTTGTCATAAGCATTTCCCATACGGTTAAAAATCGGTTAAAAATCCTTCCTAAAGATTTCTTGTTTTGTTTTTGTTTTTCCATGTTGATGAAGGTCACATGGGATCCTGACACCATTTGGAGGAGATTCAGAGAAGTATGAAGAGCACAAAGCACTTGGCTGCCCCCCGTGGGCCTCTTCCCAGCACTCCCTTTCTATGACACTCATGCATCATCCTGCATCCCATGTTCCCTATGCCTCATGTCATCTGTACATCATGTGTCTACTCCCCATGGTCATGTCATGGTGTTGTGTACTGGACACAGTTGAATACTCCCGTCACATGATGGGGAAGGTAGTTGATCCCACCACATTCAACTGTTGGGCACTTTTGTAGTGAATCTTGGTGCCTGAATCTCACATCTTGCACGCAATCTACCAAGTGTTCTTGATATATAAGTGGCCACAGTGCTTTCCAGAAAGGTCGTGACAATTTATATTCTCACCAGCAGATCAGTCCAGAGTACAATAGTTAAAGACAAACAACAAAAACCTCCCTGCTTATTTTTAGTTTCACAACTTTTAATGTTTTCTTCAGTTATATGTTTACCATAATGGGCTTGGAAAATGTACAAAAGGTAACTTTTTTTTTTTTTTTTGAGACAGAGTCTTACTCTGTCACTTAGGCTGGAGTGCAGTGGCAGTCTCAGTTCACTGCAATCTCCGCCTCCTGGGTTCAAGCGATTCTCCTGCCTCAGCCTCCCCGGTAGCTGGGATTAGAGGTGTGCACCACCACACTGGCTAATTGTTGTATTTTTAGTACACAGGGTTTCGCCATTTTGGTCAGGCTGGTCTCGAACTGCTGACCTCAGGTGATCCACCCACCCTGGCCTCCGAAAGTGCTGGAATTACAGGTGTGAGCCACCGCACCCGGCCACAAAAGGTTATTTTTTAATTGCCCTTCCCACTTTCCCTCTCTTTTCAGAGTCTCCAGTCTCCCTTGCCCTCTTCCTGGTCTCGTCTCCCAACTTGGACTTGGTAGGAAAGGCAGGAAGACAGCAAAGATAACACCATGGGCAGAGCTGCTGCTGGTGGTGCAGTCATCCATTATTATGTAGCCCACCTGGCTGCTTCCATTTAAATGGAATTTAAATTTAAAATTAAGTTCCTATTTCAGGTGCTCCCAGCCACCTGTAGGTGGCTGCATGGGTAGAGAATGTTTACATCCCTGTACTACGCTGGGCAGTGCTGGCCGCACCACAGGGCAGGCATTCTTGTTCCCGCAGCTCAGTCGATGTGTGTTGAGTGACTGAGAGGGAGATAGACGCTAAACTAAGTAAGGGGAAAAGGTATGTTCAGAAAGTCATAGGGGTTGTTAAGAGGGCACCATGAGGATGATGGCTGGGACATCTGCGAGGGGAGGAGCTGGGGGAAGGGGGAGGAGCTGGGGTGGGATGGCAGGTGCAAAGGTCCTGGGGCAGCCAGTGGCTTGAACTCAGTGCAGAGTAGCCCGTGAGAGGCATGTGGAAGATTAGGTCAGGAGGTGGGAAGAGGTCAGGTTAGTTCCTTGGGGTGCTGGAGATCAGGACAAGGAAGCAGGGAGCCGAGGGGCATCCTGAGTATGGAGGGCCACCATCTGATGTGGCCCTTCTGTCCCTGCCCCTCTCTGCAGGCTCCTGATTGCTGACTCTGCCCGCCTGCCACGCTGGCTGTGTCCGGAGCCACTGGGGATCCAGTCCACACACACCCCTCAGACAGGCCCTGTGGCCAGAGAAATGCTCCCACGGCCCAAAGCCCCTGCCTCCCCCAGACGCCCCCAGACCCCAACCCTGAGTGAGCAGGACGCGGACCCTGGGCCAGCAAGCCCCAGGGACACCGAAGCCCAGCGTCTGCGCTTCCGGCAGTTCCAGTACCACGTGGCGGGCGGGCCTCACCTCGCGCTGGGCCAGCTCTGGACGCTGTGCCGCCAGTGGCTGAGGCCCGAGGCGCGCTCCAAGGAGCAGATGCTGGAGCTGCTGGTGCTGGAGCAGTTCCTGGGCGCGCTGCCCAGCAAGATGCGGACCTGGGTGCAGTCACAGGGCCCCCGAAGCTGCAGGGAGGCCGCCAGCCTGGTGGAGGACCTGACACAGATGTGCCAGCAGGAAGGTGAGAGGCGCAGGCTCCGTGCCCTGGGACGGGCAGGGGGCCTGACGTCTCCGAGGACCGAACTGCCCTCCTTCCCGCCCGCATCGCCCCACCCCTGCCCGGTCCCTCCCGACCAGCAAACCTCTCCTGCCCCGCGGCTGTGTTTTTAATTATTTTTACATATAAATGTGCTGCACGCCTCATCTGCCTCGGGTTTCTCACTCAGGGATTAAAGATGCCTCCATTTCCCATGCGTCCATCTGTCCTGTGGCTTTGTGTCTGCTGCTCCTCACCGGCTGTTCTCTGGGAAGGACGCTGCCCGGCCACTTCCTCCCAGCCACATGCAGCGCCTCCTGCAACACTCAGGAATCCTAGAGATCCTTAAGCCTTCACAGGGCGCAGGCCCCATCGCTGGCTGATGGTGGGGAGAGACGCTTAGGTCTGCATCCCGACTCTGGGAGCTGGGAACTGTGGGGTCGGAACTGGGCTTCCTCCCTGTCTCCTCTCTTAGCTCCCCTCTCCCCTGAGAGGGCTTTGTCCTCCCGCATCTTTGCCCCTGTGACCCCACGTGGAGATTCTATCCACCCAGGGCCCAGTCCCATGACTGAGGCTCGCTCTTTCCTAGTGACAGAAGTGCAGGAATTGGACACTGGGAGGCCAAAAGAGGCAGCCACGAATGGTGAAAGCAGTCATGGCACTGTGGCCTCAGGGGGGGCTTCCTCAGCAGGGCCCCAGCAAGGAAGGTATGCCAGGCAGCCACACTGCAGGAGCAAAGGCTGGGAGTGACAAGGGTCAGATCAGAGCTCAGAGAAAAGAGGGCTGGAGCAAGGGAGAGGAACAGGCCCTCCCTTTGCACCCTCCGACTACAGCTTTCCTATAGGCTAACAGTGATAAGCAGTTTGCAGAACACAGGGTCCAGGGTCCCCTTACTGCCTCAGGGCAGCCCGTGAGCTTTCCAGAGGCACAAGGGTAGCCCTGTAAGCTGCAAGGCAGAAGCCAGATGAATTGGCCCTTTGAACTTTCTGCTCCTGGGGCAGAGGGCCCAAGACCACTGGCTTCTGATGCTCTGTGGACCTCACAGCCATCCCAGTCCAGAGCCACCCTTGCTAGGTTTAATGTTCCATGGTCACTCTCGAAATTCTTCATCGTTTTTGAGCAAAGGGCTCTATTTGTCTTCCATAGCGGTGGTCTGCTTTTTACATTCCATATTTTGAGCCTACGAAACAGTAGAGCAAGTATAATGAACAGCCCTGCACATACCACCCAGCCCTATCAAAGCCCAACCTCCAGAAAGGCTGACTTGCAGTTGTTTTAAAAGAAATACCCATGGCCAGGCGCGGTGGCTCACCTCTGTAATCTCAGCACTTTGGGAGGCCAAGGCGGGTGGATCACAAAGCAGGAGTTCGAGACTAGCCTGGCCGACATGGTGAAACTCCGTCTCTACTAAAAATACAAAAATTAGCCAAGCGTGGTGGCACATGCCTACATTATATCCCAGCTACTCAGGAAGCTGAGGCAGGAGAATCGCTTAAACCCAGGAGGCGGAGATTGCAGTGAGCCAAGATCACGCCACTGCACTGCAGCCTGGGCGACAGAGCGAGACTCTGTCTCAAAAAAAAAAAAGAACTAACCAGTGGAGTCGGCTGAAACCCCGTGCACGTCTCCTAGTCCTGTTGTCCCTCACTCTGCCTGACACCCCAGAGGTGGCCATGGTCTTGAATTTTTCTTTTTTTTAATTAAAAAATAGAGGGAGGGGTCTCGCTGTGTTGCCCAGGCTGCTCTCAAACTCTTGGTCTCAAACAATCCTCCTGCCTCAGCCTCCCAAAGTGCTGGGATTACAGGTGTGAGCCACCTCGCCTGGCCTGGTTCCCACATCTTGACCCTTCTGTAAATGGTGTCCTGAACCCTGCCAACAGTTGTCCTCTCTGCACAGCAGCCCCGGGGGTCTTGGGGAGCAGCGGGCTCACGGTGTCCGGGCCTCCCTAGTTGGTCAGTGCTGCAGTGCGTGTCCTCGTGGGCTTCTGGAGGCACACAGGGGTGTGGAGTGTGAGTGAAGAGGGTACTTGTCCTCAGCAGCCCTCGGTGTCACCACAGGTTCCTAACCAGCAGCCACATGGACAGAATGACAGCCATCGCTCTTGCCTGTGCCTCAGGGATGCTGTAGGAATGTTTGGGGAAAGTCTGCCCTCCCCAGAAGGTCTGGAGAATTGGGGGCTCCGGGAAGAACAGACCCCTCTCACGATCCCTTTCTCCCGCACAGTTCTGGTATCTCTGGACTCGGTCGAACACCAGGACTGGAGTTTCGGTGAGGAGGAAGATGGGAAGAGTCCAAGGTCCCAGAGAGAACCATCCCAGGTGAGCCCGGGGCCCCCCTGCTCCGTGCTCCTGCACCCCAGGGTGTGCGTGCCGCTCCTGGGACGGACTCAAGGAAACCCCATCCAAGGACTGTGTGAGGATGTCCCCAACGCTCCCAAAAAGCCCAACCTCCAAACTCCCACCTGCCCCACAGATTCCCCACGCTTCCTGGGGCTCAGTGCTGGGCGAGGGCAGTGAGTGCAGGTGTATGCCGTGCGCCTCTGGGCCTCACCCCAGCCCCTCCTGTCCTTTCTAAGCCGCGCAGTTAGGACCCATCCTCCTGTGTCACCAGCACCAGATGCTGGGTGTTGAGAAAGTCCTGCTGCCCCTGATCACCTTCTCTCAGTGAACCCAGGATTCTGGGCGGGGCCAGAAGGAAACGCTGAGGGCTCCCCAGCAGCTAGACCTGCTGGTGCACAGGCCTCAAGGCGACGGGAGGGGCCCGGCTGGGTTGGGAGCCTAGCAGATCTTGGTGTGGCTGGAGAGATTAAAATCAGGGGTGGAGCCACGCAGATGTGTGAAATACAGGGGTAATGGGTAAATCACAAAAGAACAAAAGTAAGAACCGCTAAGTGAGTAGCATGTGTTCATATGATCAGGGCTACCATGAGTTTGAACACTTTCTGCCCCTGGATCTTGGTATTGGAGCCGCCAGGGGAAACACAGCACGGTGGAACAATGGATAGAGCAAGGTTTTGCTCACAGAGCAGAGACAGGGCCAGAGCACCATCTGCCCACGTGGCTGTCAGGCCCAGGCCAGCAGGTCCCTCCTAGAGGGGACCTGACCTAACAGTGGGGCTGTCTAGATGCCACATGAAGCACACGCCTGAGCAGAACAAAGGGGCACACATTAGGAAACAGAGACCCCCACACGAGGCACTGCGCCTAGCACGAACTGCGGGGACCCCTTATCTCTTGGTAAGGAGATGTTCTAAGCCCAGGGCCCACTCTCAGGCAGCTGAGTAACAGGCTGAAAGACTGCACATGTGTCTCTCCCACTGACTTAGTCCATTCTGGGTGCTATAACAAAACACGGCTGGGTGTGGTGGCTCATCCCTGTAATCCCAGCACTTTGAGTGAGGCCTCACGGGAGGCTGTGGTGGGAGGACCACTTGATCTCAGGAGTTCAAGAACAGCCTGGGCAACATAGCAAGACCCCAGGTCAAAAAAAAAAAAACATAGCCAGGTGTAGGGGCATGCACCTGTAGTCTTAGCAACTCTGGAGGCTGAGGTAGGAGGATCACTTGAGCCCAGGAGTTCAAGGCTATAGTAAGGGATGATCATGTCTCCACACTCCAGCCTGGATGACAGAGTGAGACCCTGACTCAAAATACAAAAACAGCCAGGTGCGGTGGCTCACGCTTGTAATCCCAGCACTTCGGGAGGCTGAGGCGGGCAGATCACGAGTTCAGGAGTTCAAGACCAGCCTGGCCAGCACAGTGAAACCCCATCTCTACTAAAAATACAAAAAAATTAGCCAGGCATGGTGGCGGACACCTGTAATCCCAGCTACTCGCGAGGCTGAGGCCGGAGAATCGCTTGAACCCAGGAGGTAGAGGTTGCAGTGAGCCAAGATCGCACCACTATACTCCAGCCTGGGTGACAGAGCTAGACTCAGTCTCAAAACAAACAAAAAAAACTAGCCTGGATGGCTTATAAACCACAGAAGTGCTGGGCATGGTGGCTAATGGTTGTAATCCCAGCACTATGGGAGGCCAAGGCAGGAGGATCATGAAGTCAGGAGTTTGAGACCAGCCTGGCCAACATGGTGAAACCCCGTCTGTATTAAAAATACAAAAATTAGCATGGTGTCGTGGCGCACACCTGTAATCCCAGCTACTCAGGAGGCTAAGGCAAGAGAATTGCTTGAACTGGGGAGGTGGAGGTTGCAGTGAGCCGAGATCGCACCACTGCACTCCAGCCTGGGCAACAGAGAGAGACTCCATCTGGGGAAAACAAAACAAAACAAAACAAACAAACCACAGAAGCTTATTTCTCACAGTTCTGGAGACTGGGAAGTCCCAGGTCAAGCTGCCAGCAGATCTAGTGTCTGCTGAGGGTCGGCTGCCTCATTCACAGGTAACCTCACAGGGTGGAAAGGGCAAGAGAATTCTCTGGGGCTCTGTTAAAAGGGCACTAATCCCAGTTGTGAGGGCTTCAACCTCATGACCTGATTCTCTATCAAAGGCCCTACCTCCTAATTCCCTCTATTTGGGGGTTAGGGCTTCAATATATGAACTTCATAGAGACACAAACATTCAGACCAGAGCAGCAACAAAATCGAATCAGTTCCCCTTCCCTCTGGCACTGAACAGACAGGGCCATGTCCTCATTCTTCTTCAGACCGCAGGCCCCTCTCTCTCCTTCTCTGAATGATAACCTTGTCTCTCTTCTTTGTCCTCTTGAACAATAACTGCCAATCCCCGGCTGTGTCGGGACCTCAATCCCTCCAGCACCCCGTTGACAGCCTGGGCGGCCCCAGGACACCCCCACCTCTCTCTCAGGGCCACCCAGCTTCCTTCATCCTTGACTGAGGTTGCAGGCCTCCCCTCCAAGCCCCCCACACCCTCTGTACCATCCACTCACAGCCTTGCAGCATCTTTGGTTTCCTCCATGTTTTCTGTTTTTTGGGGAGGGGGTATCTCACTGTTGCCTAGGCTGGAGTGCAATGGTACAATTGTGGCTCACTGTGGCCTCAAACTCCCAGACTAAGGTGATCCTCTCACCTCAGCCTCCTGAGTAGCTAGGACTACAGGTGCGTGCCCCACCACACCAGATAATTTTTGTATTTTTAGTGGAGATGGGGTTTTGCCATGTTTCCCAAGCTGGTCTCGAACTCCTCGACTCAAGTGATCCACCCGCCTCAGCCTCCCAAAGTTCTGGGATTACAGACATGAGCCACCGTGCCTGGCCTTAATTAGCTTTTATAGATAATGAGTTTTAATCCATGAAGGCCCTGTTTTAACTTACATGCGACCATATTGTTTGAAATGCTTGTTCCCTGGTGCCATAAATAAATAGTACTTGAACATAAATTTAATTTCCTCAGCAAGACCATTTTTACTTTCTGCAGAAAGGGTACAGTCACCAGCAGTTTTGCTACGAGAGTACACTGAACAAAGGAGACAGGGTCATTTATAACCTAATGTGTCCACCCTACCGCTGTGTCCAGTTTCCATTGGCTGGAATGGGACCTTACATTCTGTATTTGTCCCAATTGGCTAGTAACTTAGAACTTTTTAAAAGAGGTGGCTGGGCATGGTGGCTCCTGCCTGTAATCCAAGCACTTTGGGAGGCCAAGGTGGGCAGATCATAAGGTCAGGAGATGGAGACCATCCTAACTAACACAATGAAACCCCATCTCTACTAAAAATACAAAAAATTAGCCCGGTGTGGTGACGGGCGCCTGTAGTACCAGCCACTCAAAGGGCTGAGGCAGGAGAATAGCTTGAACCTGGGAGACAGAGGTTGCAGTGACTGAGATCACTCCACTCTACTCAGCCTGGGTGACAGAGCAAGACTCTATCTAAAAAAAAAAAAAAAAAGAACTTTTTAAAAGAAGCAAAGGCAAAGGAGAACAAAGGAAGGAGGAAGTAACTTGTGGAATGCTGAGAAAAGTAAAAACACCTTCAAATAAGGAAGAGAAACAAGCTATAACCTAATGCTTGCTTGGACCAGTATAAGCATGCCAGGGCAAATATTTAGGCTAAATTGTGGGAGCTAAGAACATAAAGTACATTGATTTTTTTATTACAGCTAGCAGATATTTAAGAATGTTAGCACAGGTCTTTTAATAAATTTTGCTTCTTAAGAGAAGTTACTATTTATTCCTAATCAGATGCAGAGGAAAGTCTGCACCTCTACTTTACTTTTTTTTTTTTTTTTTCAGATGGAGTCTTGCTCTGTGGCCCAGGCTGGAGTGCAGTGGTTCGACCCTGGCTCACTGCAGCCTCCACCTCTCAGGTCCTGGTTCAAGCAATTCTCCTGCCTCAGCCTCCCGAATAGCTGGCATTACAGGCACATGCCACCACGCCCAGCTAATTTTTGTATTTTTAGTAGAGAAGGGGGTTTCACTATGTTGGCCAGGCTGGTCTTGAACTCCTGACCTTGTGATCCACCTGCCTCGGCCTCCCAAAGTGCTGGGATTACAGGCATGACCCACCGCGCCCGGCCTTACTTTATTTTTTACAATATGAACTACTTTACTGGGGAGTTCATGAAGTCCCATCATATCTGGCTAATTTTTAAGTGACAAAGACTTACTTTAATTTTTATTTATCATCATTATTTTGAGACAGGGTCTGACTCTGTTGCCCAGGCTGAAGTGCAGTGGCCCAATCATGGCTCACTGCAGCCTCGACTTCCCAGGCTCAAGCGATCCTCCTACCTCAGCCTCCCAAGTAGCTGGGACTATAGGGACATGCCACCACGCCTGTTTACATTTTTCATGTTTTTTAGAGATGAGGTCTCTCTATGTTGCCCAGACTGACCTCAAACTTCTAAGCTCAAGTGATTTGCCCACCTCAGCTTCCCAAAGTATTGAGATTACAGGTATTAGCCACCGGGCCTGGCCAAATTTTAATTTATTGTTTATTGTGTCAGAATATCTATGCCCGGCCAGGCGCGGTGCCTCACGCCTGTATTCCCAGAACCTTGGGATGCCGAGGCAGGCAGACCACCTGAGGTCAGGAGTTTGAGACCAGCCTGGCAACATGCCCAAACCCCATCTCTAGTAAAAATACAAAAATTAGCCAGGCATGGTGGCTCACACCTTTAATCCCAGCTACCCAGGAAGCTGAGGCAGGAAAATCACTGGAACCTGGGAGGTGGAGGCTGCAGTGAGCTGAGATGATGCTGTTGCACTCCAACCTGGGCGACAGAGCAAGACCCTGTCTTAAAAAAAAAAAAAAAAGAAAAAAAATGCCCAATACAGCAATGGAGATGATGACTATGGGAAATATAGGCCAAGCTACAGTGAATGTGAGGCATACCCATTTTTC